ACAGCTAAACGCGTCTCCATGTGGACGGGGCCTTAGAGAGCGGTCTACACAATAATGAATTCCCTTACCTGTCAATTTGGGCATCACTACTTAGAATTTTCTCTGCCATCAGAGATTTCTGGTTTCAGATCTTTTATGCTTCTTCTACTGTTCTAATTCTTCCATTGTCTCCGATGGTAAAACACGATAATAAGTGTTTTCCACTGTCTAATTTCCACTCTTTGCATCTCCAAAGGCGATGCAATCTACAGAGGTGGTAAACAATGAACGCAAGCATTTTCTTCGACATTCAGTGACATTTACTATCCAGTCTTGGACCAAAAAAAATTATATATATATAGAATCTATATCCAATATGGACTGCTATCCTATATATTCTGCATCCCAAGTCAAAGCAATTGACTTGGAATGCATTTGTGGAATTTGTATGTATTTAATAGTCAAAGTAACCACTGTTTATGAGACCAAAGAACCCAAAACTGCAAATCACAGAAGGATTCCCATAAGATCAGACTGATGTGAGCTGAAAAGCAGAAAAACAGTCAACAAAATGACAAACTAACCTCCTCTAACTTCCTGCTGCTTTGACACTGATGTATACAGTTACTTCCCTAGAGGTTAAATCACAAGCTCTCAGTTCAGCTTTGTTTAGTTGAAGATGACACAGTCAGCCTATGCTTTTTGTCTTCCAAAGCCTTGCCAAAACCTAAAGGGCTTGGGGAAGTTATAGGCAGTTGTCTTACCTCAGTATGCCATCTTAAAGTTACCAGTCCAAGCCCTCATTCATGAATAACTGGGATCCTATCACTATTGTGCCCTTCAACTAGACACTTGAGTCTGGGTTGCTCCAGAGGGACTGTGCCATAGATTATATACTCAGTCACCTTGGATAAGAAAGTGACTGCTAATGTACGGTAATGTAATGTAAATACACTGCTCATTCTGACTATGACATCACTGCAACTCATGTGTGTGAGGACCTGTGACATTGCAGGAACAGTACAGAGATTATCTCACTTTTTCAGTAAGAGAAAAGGCAGACTGATCTGGGAAGAGATGTGAAAGTATTTACTCACAAGACTCACAATGACTAAGCTCAAGTCATACAGTGATGTGATTCCCCATGAATCTCCTGCATTGTTAAATATTCATTCACTCGTAAGCCTCTCTGCTTCTGCAGAGGGGAATGAGTGCGGCTGTGGACTCACCTTGGAGAGATTAGCTTCAGGGCTCATTCTGTTCCACCTCTGGCATGATGCTCCACTGCGGCTTAAACCGCTAATCCCAATAGGCAAAACACACCAAATGTAAAGCACGCACGCAAATACACTGCTTTCAGTCACAGACAACTGTTTGGAGGTACACCATCCCATATGTGTCTAAACTTTCAGTTGAGTTCCTGAGTTAATGTCAGAAACTAAACAAAACTGCATTCAGTGATAACCGAGAACACCAAGGCTTGTTATATGCAAACTATCCAGCAGTTAAATAAAACACACTGGCTCTTTTCACCAAGAAATGGGACAGAAGACCATTTGGGCAAGAGAGAATGGGGGGGGTTTCACTGCCTGATGTTGTGTTACAATTGAGGTCATACAGGGAATCTGTGTGCAGAAAAGAAAAAGTTGAGTATATCACATGCCCCATGTATATTTGTTATAAATAGTTTAGGGATCCACAATATATCTGTATCGTATTGATTATTGGTATTGGTTGATAGTGGATGTACACTACAGTTAAATAGTGTGGAGTCAGTTACAGTATTTAATGTTTTTGAATGAAATCTTCACCAAATCTTATGTTCACCAAGGCTGCATTTATTTGTTAAGCAGAGAAACTTATTTATTTATTACAGTAAAAAAGTAATATTGTGAAATATTTTCACAAATGAAAATAACTGTTTTCTATTTTAATATAGTTTAAAATTAAACATAATGCTTTATATATTCATAACCCTGCTCAATGTAATCTTAGCAAAGCTCAAAATGAACATCCATTTTAATATTGTACATTATATTGTTGTAATGCTTAAATTCATTTGAAGCATTAAAAAAATATATTTTCAAGGCTTTAATATCAGCAACAGTGTCAACTAGACATTTAATATTGGTGCATCCCTAAAATAATTGCTAATTTGATTTCAGAAACCAATAAAAGTGAAGTAGCCTACATCAATATTAATATGAAGGCAACTGATCCAAGGGCAACTTATTTACATTTAATGATGTCTGTCTGCTCATTAGCAAGTTTTATTAAATGCAAAAGATTCTCCAACCTCAGATAATGAATCTTCTCAGTAACACATCTTCAAATTAATTATAAGTGAAATTTTCTTTGACTAAGTTATAAGACATTCTCATGTAGCACGCTTACAGAAAAATGAATACATATGGCATCATTCAATGAGCACTTCAGCCTTATTACATAATTAAATTCAGCATCCAAACATAGTAAGGCTGATTCATGAATAATGATGTATTTAAAGACAAAACACTCCATTAGATGTGACAAATGGGCACTTCATATGCTGTGCCACACTTAAAGATCCAGTTAGGCACTTAAACATCAACTTGACTCACATTTTGGCCTCTCAGAACCCCTTTCACAATAGATGACCATCATGTTTGAGTACAATGGCTTCAAAAGAGACCTTTGATGTCCAAAGGGAGAAAGAGCCCTCTGAGATCATGCAAACAAGGGCCCTGTTTACACCTGATATCAACATCCATCTTGGATGATCCAGATGAGACGGATTGCTGTTTACACTGGTATTTCAGAAGTATTTCACCTGGTGTCTCAGAAGAATCTTTGCACTAAATATATATGATGCAGTCACATGGATTTCTGACTAGATCCGAATATGTTTTAAGTAATTGAATCGCACAACATTTGGACCCTGTTTTCACCTATGTTTAGTTTAGACAATTTAATGTAGCATCCGTTGTGGCATACTCACTCACTGATAACAATACTTCCTTTGTAAGCTGCTTCCTTTAGTCTCACTTCATTCTTTTATTTTCAGAAAGTGAAAATAAAAGTACGCTTGGGATGTGCTATTTTTAGGCTGCTGAACACTCTTTCACAAACATGCAGGCAAGAAGAAAGCAGATGGTTATGTGGACTTGCGTGTGTGTGTGTTTTGGTGTATTCTTTTGTCACGACACAAAGGAATACACTAGTGCTTGGGCATGTGTGTATGTGCATAAGGAAAAGTATGTACAGTACGGTAATCTGCACTTGAGCAGTAATTTCTGGTCTATGCTTACTCTTTTATCTTGACACACATCCAAGCAAATGTTGTCTAAGATGTCTACCAACACACAGAACAAGTCAAAACCAAACGTTCAATGTGAGGGAGCTGCCAACTAGCTTTCAACATTCAATCACAGGAACACACAGACAGATCTGTCCCATTGTAGGAAAGATTATGTCATTGAGCTTAGCAGGCTCAGGTATTCCTGTCCTTTGACTCTTGTCGTGGCCTAATGGTTAGAGTTGGACTTGTAACCGAAGGTTTTCATTCATTTTATTTCATTCAGATGCTCGTTCATTCCATCACAATATACTGAGAAAGGCTTGTATGTGCTTAATGGTCCTTAAAAGACCTGAAATCACAAGTCCTTGATGAATTATTACTGGATAAATTAATGTAGTTAAATAAACTTAAGCTTTGTTGAAAGGCATCTGTAGAAAGTTGCTAAAAAAAAGATATAATTTTGACACATGCCTTGGTTTATAAAAACAAAGGAAAAATGTGTTCACAGTAATGCACTTACAATGGAAGCCCATTGGGGTCAGTTTTAAACGCAGCAAATAAATGTTACATTTAATGTGTCGCTGGTCATTTGCATAAAGCTGAGCTCTGCTCAACTTTGTTTCTCTGCCAATTGTATCTTTTGCTTGTGTCAAAGAAACTCCAACTCTTGCTAAAAATGAATACTATCCTGTCACTTTGCTGCTGCAAATTGCTGTCAGTATGAGCAACCCTTTGGACTGTAAAAAAAAAAAAAAACTGTACAGATCAAGTTATTTTTTAAATGAATAATTCATGTAAGAATGTTAACAAAAATGCAAGCTTAACATTTCTGCTTTTAAACCCTACGATAAATATGCAGCAAAGACTTTCATGGGGAGAGGCTGTACATGTTTTGTCATTTTTATTCAGACTGAGGTACGAGTTGAAATTATCTTCTGTGGTAATCGACATCAAGCTACAGATGCTGTAGAGGGTAACTTGTATTAAACCTGCAGTAATTCTTTCATGAAGACCCAGTGCAATTTCATCAGTTTTTCTACTTTATCAGAGACTAAAAAATTAATATTTCTAAAATCCCTGTAGTGAAATAAAGACTACAAAAAAGGTTTGTGTCAGATGAAATCTGTAGATTAAATATAGAGGGGAATGTAGAGTAAAATAGCTGGCAGCTATATTAAAGTTACTACTGTACAGTGAGCAATGAACTGTTTATTTACTACTGAGATATTATGTCATAAAGCTGTAAGGGATCATAGTAAGACAAAATCTGGCATCAGAATAGTGCAAATCATATGACACGACGCTAAAGACATGATCACAAACCACAGAAACAGGAAGATTTCTGTCAGCGGGCTGTTTGCCAGACCCCAAAGTTCTAAGCCAAAGATCTAAGCCTGATCAATTTGTTTCCGCATTGCCTGGAGTGCTGAATCACTGGGGGTCTCCACCATTCTGTAATGCTCTGTAAAAAGTGTAACCTCAGGTAGAACAATCCAGGGTCAATCCTAAAGGAAAAGAAGACTGGATTTTCACAAAACGCAAGATCTATGAAGCACTTTTCCCCTCATAAATGCTCAGAGGACGAGTATTAAACCAAAACAAGACATAGAATTTGCTGCTTTGGTGTACCTTGTAGAGCGTCCTTGAGCTTGGGAAAGGCGCTATATAAATTAAACATATTAAGACACATCCATTCTTCCACAAACAACAATTGAGCAGGAAGAGCAAGACAGTTTTGGCTGACCTGCCGTGAGCGTGGAAGTCCAGGTGCAGGAACTGGTCCTGGTGAGACAGAGCTCTCTTAGCCCTCTGGTGCTTGCTGTGTAAGACGTCTGTGTCGTAGGACAGGCCTTCATAATGTCGAATATACTTGCTCAGGGATTTCCCATACTGACCTACAGAATAAAAGGAGGAAGAGAGAAAAAGAGAGATGAAAATCAGTGACCGGTTGTGGTCTGACTAGCAATTATTGAACACAAGACCTGGTGCAAAAATTTAACAGGTAAACTGTGGTGACAGAGTGAGGATAAACCTCTGTGACTTTTGGAATTACACTTTGAGCTGTAACATGATGACTCGTTATCTCTAAATTACAAGACTTAGGCCCGTTTCAAAAATCCTGTGTCTGCAGCACGTAAGCAAATCAGCATTACGGGGCATTGAGCTTTCATACTGACAGAGTTTCTGCTGCCTAACCAAATGGGTGACTGGACACGTGCCCAGGGCAATACGTCAGGGAGGTGCACCATGTAGGGCCAAAAAAAAAAAAAAGTGATTTCCAGTTCACCCCACTGAATTTATCCTTAAAATAACAGTCATAAATTATAAAATGGTTAATGGGAGCCAGCCAAACTTGAAAAAATTACAAACTAAACTAAAACTCAATCAGTAATATATGGCCAGCAATGTCACCATCCAGCAAAAGTGATTATGAATTTATTGCTGTCTTGGAGCTTGCTGCATGAAAAGCGTTTGTTTAATAGTGAATATTGACCTATTGTGCGTACCGTTGTGGATCCCGCTGTTAGCAGGGGATAGTCGCTGCATTTGGGGTAAAAACGAAGGAATTAGTTATTGTGTGAGGTGCCAAGAATATAAAGAGACCCGGGTTGCACTGTCTGTTCGTTCAATTGTCTGTGAGTGACGTCACCTCACAATACAAACATGCCCCATAGTATAGTCCCACCCCTGACAATGACTGATAGGTTTCTGTATAAGGCGTCGGAAATTTAAATGCTAAGGAATTGTGATTCCATTTGAGTTTTGGCAGGTTACAGGCGCAACACAGAGAGAGTGAAAAAGCAGACGTGGTAATTAATATTGCTATTTAAATATGACAGGCTCATAACTCTTAAGACATGGGAAATACAGTTGCAAATGGACTTGGGCAGTCACTGTGCATTCATGAAAGCGAAAACGCAAATGGTAATGCAACACATTAAACACATTTGAAAACAGGCCGCTATATCCTTCCATAGAAATCTGTAAATATGGGCATGAATCTGAATATGTGTGGCTTATGTGTGAAGCGAACCTTATACTGTCATAACATTTATTAATAAGAGGAACGGAGAACATAGAGAAAGAGAAAAAAAACTAACTAGGCCTAAACTGTCATGTGTGCATGAGGGCACTTATATTTTCCACTTCTATTGTGGGAAAGTACAGTATTCATGTTTTTCCTCCCATCCTTCCTCAGACTCAAAAAGCAACTTCCTGGCACAGTAGCATTTATTCTAAGAATAGCCTGACCTTAGCAGGGAGAGTTTACTTCGTCACGACACTATAGTATCTGCTCAAACAACAGTTGTACACATGAATTACCCACAGCGATCCATATATTTCATCTCACGAACAGCTTTTTTAGTCCCTTTCCTTCACAACCCTGAAATCTTGACAGTTATATACTCTTCTTATTTTGGACAGTGCAATGTAGTCTGACAGTGTATAAGAGTCTACAAGACAATGTGACTAATAACACTGTCCAACCTCTGGTTGACGTGTTTTCAGAGGAAGAACTCTGACACTGGCTTTCAATCAGTCAACACAACCCACAGAGAACCAACCTTTCTTGTTCTGAATCTAACTCTAGCTCCCCTGGGCTCCAACCATGTCTGCTATGACAATAAGCCTCAAGCACCAAACTGGCTTGAATAGAGCAGTTCCTTTTACTCTGAGAACAGAATAACAGCTGTGCAAGCGGGCCATCAGTGCTGACAGGTGAGGTCATGTCTGGAGATGGTCTGAACCGATTTATACCTCAAAAACTGAATATCACAGGTAGGGCTGCAACAAATTATTATTTTGATAATCGATTAATCTAACGATTATTATACCGATTAATCGACTAATCATCAATTAGTTCACTGATTAATTAGTAGACATTTATTGATCATTCAGCTTTTGCAATTAGTTAAAATATTGAGTTATACATATTCTAACAAATAAATGAAGGTAATCACTTCAGCTTTTGAAAGTCATATTATGTAATTACAGTTATACAATTAATTTATACAAATAAATATATTTGGCACACAAAATGAGATGGCGTAGCTGAATCATTCTGCCTAAAATATCTTATTGTAAGTCATATGGATAAGAAACAAAATAAAGGTTAAGTGTTAAGACATTTTATTTTTGGATAAACTAATATTCACAACATAATCTATCTTAAAATACCTTATAGGGTTATGATAATCAAAACAATCCTGAGCTAGATCAAGCTTTGATCTCTGCAAACCAAACTATAACTTTAATGAAATGTTTTTTTCCCCACTAATAAAAATATTTTATCATTTGTTAGCTCCACACTGGAGAGCTGCTTTTTAACTGAAAATCAAGTTGTAATTCTAAATGAAAGCAACACTGACTCTGGTTTTTCATGTTCAATAATAATGTAAAGCTGCTTGATTTAAGGCTATCTATTGCATAAAGTACTATATAAATAAACGTCACGTGACTGTACTTTACTGGAGTACTGAACTGCAGAGCTCGTGCAAACATCCACATCGCTGTAATCAGATGCGTTTTAAACTGCTACTTTCTTACCGCTGTCAGTTTTTGATGTGTTTATTTTGTTATTGACAGGAAAGCGTGCAGTATATAGTTACATATTCTCCCAAACGCTGCTCAGCAGCCTCAGGTTTGGCTGCGTTTGCTCTGAAGCGCTGCCGCTGTGTCTTCTTCTCTTGATTTGCATCAGGAGAGCTGAATTAGTCTTGCGCTACAGCGCCACACTGGTCAAACCGCGTTATTGCAGGCTCTTACATTAGGTCATAAGATCAAATGGCTACTCGACAACAAAAATATTTGTCGACAATTTTTTATTGTCAACGTTGTCGATAATGTCGACTAGTCGTTTCAGCCCTAATCACAGGCCAATTACTGCTGCAATCTAGTGTTCAAGAGTTGGCTCAGAGCTCTGCATGTTCTATCAGGAAGCATTTTATTTTTTTCTCCTCAACTGTTTATCAACTGCTTTCAAAAGCTTACCAGAGCACACAGAGAATACAGCAAGTTCTCAAAAATGCTTTAATATTATTTAAACTATGGCTGGGTAAAAAATATCGATTTCTTGATTTTAATCGATTATCATTTTTATGAAATGATATGGATTCATAAATCCCAAGAATCAATTAGTCTAGCCTGTCAGATAATGAACGGAACACTGTAGCGTGCCTCCCATTCAATAAATTGTAATAATCTGTGTGATTTGTTACTTTTGAGACGAAACAAATTCTGTCCATTTTATTACAATATTCAAATATTAAATGCCGTTTTGGTGCTGTTTAATGTGGAGTGACAGATGGCTGCGAACTGATCATCTCCTCCGCTTTAATGGCAGTTACAGCACGAAATAAACATGAATGAACATCTGAAGCTATGTTAAAAAAAAAAAAAAAAAGAGTACAACTTACCGAAATCCATATCCTGTCTCATGTAATCGCTCAATCGACAATAGCTTGACGACACATTTACCACAAAAAAACATATTCGGTGACCATGAACTCATTAGTCAGCTAGAAAAATGAACTCTAGAGAGGAGCATTTTGCTAAATATGCACTATATAACATCTTTAAGGCTGCAACAACTAATCGATAAAATCGATTATTATCGATTATGAAAATCAACGACAATGATTCTCATTATCGATTAGTCGGGTCTGCCCACAGTGCATGTCCAACTTCAGCCGGTCACATCAAATTACAACTGAATTACGCATTTCTATGGACAAAATGCATCTAAAAAATAGTGGAGGAAACAGAATGAGATGCTGCAGGAGAGTTACATGATCCAAGCTGCCCAAAACATGAGAATTCTTTATTTTAAGCTTTAAGCTAATGCATTAGTGTAATGGCTTGCCCTGTCAGGCGCTTTGACAGATGCGTGTGCGTCCTCAGCACAAAAAATTTCAGTTTAAGGTCAAATCCTTATGTATAAATGTCACAAATTCACGCGAGCATTTGCATTTTTGCATAAAGGTGCGTCCTGACAGTCTGTGTTAAGTTTTAAAGGGGTCATATGATGTTGCTAAAAAGAACATTATTTGGTGTAATGAAATGTGTTTATGCGGTTTAAGGTAAAAAAAAACACATTACTTTATTAATGTTATTATTGTTTCTCCTCTATGCCCCGCCTTTCTGAAACGCGTCAATTTTTACAAAGCTCATCGGTCTGAAAAGCAAGGTGTGCAGTGATCAGCCAGCTATCCAGTGCATTAT